TTACAATAGGATAAACTCTTAAGGGACATATTTGAAAAGATGACCCTAATTTTGTATTATCAACGCTGTCCTAGATCTACATTTAAGTAGATCTAAATTTTTCAAAGTTGCACGAACCATTTTAGCTATTTTTATTATCAAAAACCAAATACAGTTCATTTTTTTTAATTGCAATCAAAATATTATTCAGAGGATTATCAACGAGAATTCGAAGAGTTATGAAAAAGGAAGAAAAACACAGTTGAAAGTGCAGTACATCATTTTGTTTAACAATGACCGAAATTATCTCTTGTTAGTCAAATTTCAAAGCTGTGTAGTTCGGATGTTAACTGAAAATAAGGCAACTTTTATGAGCATGAGTTTAATAAGCTAAACCTTTCAGCTTCTACACACGTTGTTTTGTTAAACGTGTTGCTAAAAACGGTTTTTATCATGTTTTGCAAAATGAAGCAGATAAAAAACTGTTTGCTTTAAAAATACTGGACAAAATAAGTTTGACATTACTGGACAAAATAAATCAGGTTGTCTATATTTCAGTTGCTTGTATAATTTAACTAAGAGTCGCAGAAAACGAAATACGATAAAGAATTAAACTCTAAATACAAATAATAAAATACAATAAATACGATGTAAGAGTTGTATTGGTTTAAATTATTAATACAGATCGTGGGAACTACTAAAGTTTATAGTTTGATAAAAATAGTAAAATTATGGAACAGTATTGTAAAGAGGTCTTGGAACCTTGAAATAACAATATTCTTTCATATATTTATCGTATTCGGGATTTTTTTACTACACGTTTTCGTGCTTTCTGAATTATTAATATTTATTATAACATACCAAACGTCATGAAAATAATTGAGAATATGGAAGAAAGATAAATTTGTGAGTTATTGCCTATAGTATCTATTTTTATTACTTTTACTATTATTGAAAAAAAACTACACTTTCAGGTTTTCATGTCGAGTCAAAGCATGTATGAATGTTTATATTATTGGGCACAATCAAGATATACTGAATTCATTTCTTATATATTTTATAGAAAAAGAGATAATATTTGTATGAAGATGAAAAGATCTCAAATAATAAAATAACTAGGACATTAAAATAATAAAATGATACAGTGTTGTTAACATATATATATATATATATATATATATACAAACATAGGTATATAATTATTAAAAAAGTAATTTTTACTTTGAACTTAGTTTTATATATTATTTCAAGTGTAAAAGTCTTTGCTATATCGAATACCAAAAAGACTTCAGATTCTATACCATTTCATAACCATATTAACGGGTAAAGCTTATCACCGATATTTACTTTGTTAAATAGCGGTAATAATTCAATTGATTAATTAATAAAAACATAAAAACGGAGATAAATCTACCGTTATTGTTTAAATAAAATAACAATAAAGTGTGATTTATGCATCTGCTAAAGATTCGTTTTCAACAGAGGCAAATCTTGGTCTAAAGTAAGGACAGGAAAATAAAAAAGAAATCAGCTACTATATTATATACATCGCATTTTGGGACGCAGATGTTTACGCGGTCCCCTAGATCTAAGTTTAATTCTGTTTACGAAAATATTTATATAAATTAATTATTCACTTGAGTTATAAAGTAGGTAAGTGTGACATATTGCAAGACTTAGTCAATTTACGTTCAATGTAAACTCATAAATCTTGTGTTATTAATAATAATTTGGCAACAAAAAAGATAACTGATCGAAAATAAGACTAAAACTTTTAGTTAGCCTAAACAAGAATCATAACAGCTGTAGTGTTTAATTAAAATTGATTTATCATATATGTTCATGAAAAGTTACCATTAATAACTATATTCATTAGGAATCTCCTTCAAAATATTAAATTGTTATTTTTCATGTTCAATCAATGCTTCAGAAAATATTGCTTTTAAAGTCAGGTGGAATTACTATAGGACGTCGACTACTGTTTTCAAAATAAATTCAATTTCCAAAATATATAGATTCTATTTAACTTGACTTCAACACTTCAACTATTTTAATACCATCAAAATAGAAAAGAAGCAATACATTTTACGTAACTTATTTTCTGGTCACAATAGAAGACTCAACAAAGCATACCGATCCGCTCCGTTAAGACTTAGCTAAAGATTTCAGTTACTGAAAAAAAACATTACGGCGCTACACTCACTTTACTTGAAAGGGTTTTTATGAACTTAGTCTTGTGTAAAACTGGAGGCTTTCTTCTAGAAAATACCAGGTTTCATACAATCTAAAAAAGTTTTCACTTTATTTTAAAATAGATAAATAAAACAATACATGCCTCCTGTAATGTCTTTCAATGATCGCCTGATTTAATAACAAGTAATTAAGGGACACTCTATTTCTTACGTTCGTTTTTATTTTCTAGCTAGAGAGCTATATGATTGTCACATCTACATGCTTATAGCCTTTAGACTCCTTATAAAGTTCACACCGAGACGTGAATTAAATGCACTCTCCTCTAGAAACGTGTCTAACAACAAAAGAGCATTCAATAGACTTATTCCACCTTGCTTGCTTTGACTTTCTTTGCTGGAGTTCACTGAAATTTATGTAAAATAAGTTTAATAGATCTTATTATTGTTTTAATAGTCTAAGCTTTAATTATAGTCTTGTACGTTTTGTTTCTATGTGAGTTAGTATGCATGTATGTACATTAAGGATGTATAGTTCCACACAAGGATCCTGTCCTAGTCATGCATGTAGGAGTTCTAATGTAGTCAGTGAAGCGCGTCGTCCGTCCAGCCGTGACTCGTGACACGCTCTGTCCGTCACCACACATCTTCGGTCACACTTACCACCGATATATACTCATACAACTCTTATTAAATACTATTTGTACTTTATAAGGATCACTTTAATATGTCACTAATTAATCTCGTTCCTTGAAGGTCTACATTTATTTATTTAATTTAAGAAAAAATGGAATTATATTCAAAAAGTTCTTATATGTAATATGAACTTCCTCATCGATGTTTTAAATCATTATTTACTTCATCCGTATTCAACACTTGACTCAGTGTAAAAATTTTAATAAGCTGTCAATATTTAATGATACATCATAGTAATTACTCAAATATCAAACATCTGAATTGTATTTCATTAAAGTGATATATTGCCAATTACAATTAATTATATCCTAATATAATGAATCCGTCACGTGTCTTCTGATAAAGACTATTGATGAGACATTTGTTTCATGTAAACGTAAATTAAAATTAATGATTGGAGTATTATTTCTGCGATTCAGCAATACTGAGTTCCATAATAAACGGTTTTTTAACTAAAAATATGAGACACAAAAAGTTTTCCATATTAAACTTTTTCTCTTTAAATAATAACGTAAAAATTGTTGTTTAAAATAAAATTCTTAATTGTTCCTGAAATAAAGAAGATTAAAATAGTGTAGTTTTTATTTATATTCGCAAAATATTTCGTCAGTTCAACTTACTTTATGAGTCAAATATTTAAAACCTTAGAGGTTTGAAAGATGTAATATGTTATTGCTTTCTTATAATAATTTAATAATCTTTCACACCTACCACTCGCTTCCCTCTCAGTAGGTTTATGTTCTCAGCCTCACACTTTCATCTCTTATAGTTTTATTGAGCTATTAAACTCTTTTACTCTATCGTTAATGACTACTTGACCTATTTTTTTCCGAAGACTCTCAATGAGGTTATCTGTTCGATCTATTTTATATTCTCCATCGATGCAGTTAGTATTATAAATAGTGATATAATTTTAAATATTGTAGAATATTTCTCGGACTTACTATGACTTCGTTTGCCCAAATTGTACTTTTAGTTTACTTTTACTGACATTCTTACATAAATAACAGTCACTGTTTAATATTATAATATTTCTTTTAATTAATTTCCAGAAACAGAAACAATTTTGGGAACTTTTGTAGACGTTATAATATGTTGGAGTATGTTAATGACTACACGTTCTGAGGATTCAAAATTTGAGGATGAACACATGTATAATAAAACACAGGATTTCAGGAAAATGGTTTAATAAAACCTTGTCTTCTTGAGAGTTTAGTCACAGATATTCACGTCCAATCTAATATTTACAGTTTTTTACTAATAAATTTATTTACAGAGTGTTTCCTTGAATATACTCGACTTATATAAAATATAACAGAATATAACATTTCTAATATTTCAATTTGAAAATTGTAAACGTAATTGAATTTAGAATTAACACTAAAAATTTAACAAACATATAATTAAGTCACCAAAACATTTAAACACTCTTTTGATAGTATTTAAGAAATTCACTAGCAGTTTGAAAATATTTATCTTATCGAGAAAGTCATGTAAATTCAAGTATATCAGAAAAATCGTTCTCTATCCTTATAGTGATCGATCTATACATAACTAACCATATTAACATAACAGTTCCTTCTTTACAAACATCTAAATACTTTAAGTATGAGGTAAATATAGAATATCATATGATAGAAGTATCTATTATATAAACTACGTATACAATATCCTTACATCAACAAAACACAAATATAACTATCCATATAATTATGATACATACAACAAAGTGAATAGATTTTGAGAGATAACTAACGTTGCACTCGTCACGCAAAACATTCATTAAAAATTCAATCGTTATAAAGTTTGATACAATATTGTAACCAATTCTTTTTAGGGGAAGACAGCTGTAGACATCTCATTAAAATTAGTTTTCGAAATTAAGCTAGCGATAAGAACGATGATTATGAACTTACAAGTACCCTTTATTTGAACTCCATTGGAGGGTTATATGTTAAGATTAGTCGTTAACTCACCCTCTTAAGCTTCTCAAGTGTACTTCACAATATACATATGCATTATGTAACTTTCATACACAATATATTGGTCAGAGTATAACACGTACACTAAGTCACGTAGAGAATTCTTTACGACTGATAGCTCAAAGCCAGTCGACCATTTAACACTAGAAGTCATCTACACAGAGATCTCTTGTATTTGAACGCGTTTTTTTGGCGGCGCGTTTGCCGGTCTCTCGCTTAGTTCTGCCTCGCTGCTACGCTGTGGAAGTCGAAAATATGTTAATAAATTAAACATTGAAAGATAGTTGTAATTCATAATTAAATACTAAATGTAGAGAGTCTTTTATATATGTAGAAGTTAATAGTTGTGGAAATAAAAATTAGTCTTTTAATCCGATACACTGGACGAACATCAGAATAATCCAAAGTCCAATTGTGCGAATTCCAACAATGAGAGCGTATCAGTGCGCAATAATGAGTTGCAATAAGCGTTGAATTGCGACGTCATCGCCTCCGCTTGTACGCTCCCATTTTGTCCGCATCAATCACTTCAATCGGTGGACGAATGGTCGATGCTAGAAGCGACAGCGATTATATTTGTATTTTATTATCTCCCTTTAGGTAGAAACTATCTCTAAAAAAAAGGCGTCTAAATGAAAGTACAAATAATTATCGGGCATTAAATATGAATGCAGTTGAACAATAGTTATACCTTTAATGTACTCTTCCTTGGTGACGTGATACTTGGCTCGGTGATTGAAGCTGAACCACTTCGGCTACTGCAGCTCCCTGGTAAAAAAAAATTAATACCTTTATGAGAATAGTTTTTCACAACTTATTTAATTTCCATTGAAGTCTTCATTGGAAATTGCTCCAGTTGAAGATCGATCACAATTATTGTACCAAAGTTACAGAGAAAAACAGGTAGATTAAAATTACATATATATTTTTTTAGAAACCTATAAATATAGAAAAAAGGGTTCTGGTCGAAAAATTTTTAGAGGTGATAGCTTAGAACCAGGGAAAACTTTTAGCGAAAAAGAGAGTTTTATATAAAAATACATGATACCACAAAACTCATAGTTCCATTATGGATAGTGTCAAAAGTTATTTCATGTACGTTTATATTTATGATACTTTAGGTAACGCACCTTCCCTTCTCGGTCTTCTATTAGCTCTTCGTTTCTCTCGCTGCAGATAGATCCCCGCGAACACGAGCAGGTTCAACGCCAAGAGGAAACAACCCGCTCCAACTGTGACGCCTAACGCCACCGTGTAACTGAATTTGAATTACATATCATTAATATGTTTCATTAAATTCCTTTGAATGCTTACATATTTAGTATACAATATAATTACTTTTTCTATCTATACATTCATCTTTACTTACTGATTGTTTTGACTATTGTATTTAAAAAAAAATTATTAAATAAGTCACACTTTCTTAATGGTATTTACTATTTGTATCGAAATAATCGTAAAATACTGATACTTTGGACAGAAAACAGATAACTCTAAGAAGCTTATCTTACAGCAATTTCAATCGGAAAACCATATTTCTAAGACGTTCCTTACTTTTACACAAAGCATAAATGGAGCCGAGGATATATAACCAGCCTCAATAGCTTTTAGTACAGCGGCGGCCGAGTTAAACGTAAGGCTCTTTAGAAATGGAAATATTATTTACAGCGGAGCATCTGTTTGAAATATTGCACCATTACTCGGGAGTCCGGTTAATTTAGCTGGAGTTCGGGTCATCAATTACCATTATCAGAAGTAACCAGACGCGGAAAAAACTTGGGCGTCTGAGAAATGGATTCACATTAAGACCTTGTTTGAGACAAAAATTGAAGAAGGTAAACAGGTAAACACATCAGCGAAATTGCTCGCTGAAAACGCGCTGATCAATCTTGTTTATAGCAGCCCTGGGACGCACTGACGCTCATCTGCCATGCTATGTTTGTTCAGAACAAATTTATAAAATGCGGAGGAAATATTTGCAGATCAAATTTAAGGTTCATCATAATGGGTTCATCGAAATCTTTTCCTCGAACATGTTTGTCAGTTGTTTAAGAAATTGTTATAGGACAACATACATACATATATTATGAGGCCTTCGTAAAATAAATATTAAATTGTAGTAATATTAAATAATACCATAGCTGTTACAACGAGTATTTTATATATTTTAAACTTATATAACCTTGAATCTTTCAAAAACAATCAGAAACAAGATTTTTATTTATCTTATACCAGTTGAGATTACACCATCCTTGAAATGGTATAAATTGACAGTTCTTGTTTAAATCTATCTATGTATGTAATAGTCACCTATAGTATTGGCTGTCCAAATTAGTCAACGAGTCTTCCTTGGGCGTGGGCTGTGGTGTAGTCATAGCGGAGAGTGCTGGCCTCGCGGACGGTGAAGGCTCACACTCCTCTACTTCAGGTTCTTCTTCCGTACTTTCTTCTTCCAAGGATGGTGTCGTATGTAACTCAGGGAATATTTCACCTGGAATATGTTCAAATTTTAACAAAAGCAACTTGAGTACTCGACGGTTGAAAACAAGTAAAGAGTGGCTAAATTAGTTTCATGCGTACATAATTTTGTTGTCACATAGTGCAGAGATATTTAATAATTAACAGACTGTTGCAAACGAGAGTAAAGTCTCAGGTAAAAAGTAGTTATCCAAGTTGGTACATACTGAAAGCGAAATAAATCCCATTTATTTGAAAAACGTAGAAACATTCCAATTTCATAAATTTTTATTCTGGAAACCTGTTAACTAATAAGTAAAAGCCGTTTGATATACAATTCCAAAGCTTTTAGTAATATTTTAGGTGTTGAGGGAGCTAAAAAATTTACTACCATAATAATTTTTCGACGTGTACAAAGTTGGGTGAACTTTAATAAATAAAAAGCGTACTCGCTACTGAGAGATTTATATTGGAAGGTAAAATGTTCGCCACTATTTTCTGATTTCTGGCGTCATTCGTTGAAATTAACTGCGTCGTTCTGTCTTCGTATAGTCTTAGCTTTTGGCAGTGGTTTCGTGTAGTCCGTAAAATAAAATGAATGTACTTGTTTTCATGTGATTTCACGTACAATATGAGCTCTTATTGTTACGGTCATTGCATTCAGATAAAATAATTCATACATATGTTTTAAAACATTATCTTACTGGTAACAAATGACACTAAGAAATATTATTAAAGGAAGATATTGCAAACAATAAGAAATAATACGTCCTTTGAGAAAACATCACAAGTGTACTTTGTTACATTACATAGGTTAGAGAACAAACAGAACACAGAACTTGTAAACTTTAAGGCAACAAAGCAAATACTGAAGGACGCGACTCGTCGCAGCTGATGGTCATGAAATTTAAACTGTTTACAGAGTTCTGGTACTCTTTGTGCACATGAGCGACTCTCAAATTAATCAAATAAAACCTACAGTAATAAAAATATATATAACATTAACTTTAACTTTCTATGCATATATAAGACGAGAATAATGTACACTTTTAATGAAACACACGACAAATAAATAGGAAGTCGCCGTCTGGGGTTGGCCCTGAAGTGAACTACTCGTTGTTTTAAGAGTTGCAACTTTAATTGAATTTGTAACAGGAAAGGCGTCCGCAGCCTCCGACACTGAGTTTTTATTAGTGAGTGGTTTTTAGAGACGTTATTTTTGTATTTTTATGTATCTAATAAAGTTGTTTTGTCCTTTGTGGGATACTTGATTAAAAATAATTGTTTTTATAATATTATTTATAGACAAAAAACACATCCCAAATATTTTAATACACATACATATAAAACTATCAAAAACTTACACTATACAATTTATTTTTCAATTATAGTATTTTCAGTGTTGTATGATTAATAATGCTGTACTGTAGAGGTTATTTTTCTGACTATAATATCAATTCAGAAAAAAATTTCCAATATAAAATATCTATAACTATACACGCTTTATAACTCGCAGAATATTATTTCAATATTATTTTTGTATGAGGTAAACATTGATTCAAAGTTGAATATCCTTGTCCCCACTAGTTCGATAAGACGTCAATAATAATCATAAGAAGAACAAAAAATGAGACACAAACACAATATATATCATCTATGAACACAAACTCCCATAACTGTGGTTAAATGACCAGAAACATTATTCATCTTTGGTTATATCACAAAAATATTTCTATTTATAATACAAATATATTGAAGGTTCCATATATTAAATGTACCATCAATTCACAATTCTATGATTTTTATACGAAAAATTCAAACCATTTTTAATCTCACACGCTCTTTCATATACTTAAACAAATTAACACTCACCGTAAGTATATAACATACCTATCATTATTGTAAAAAAGTGCAATAAATAACTAATAATACGACCAGTAACAAAGCATGCGATGGTAAATGAATCTCGGTAAAAGGATATCCAGTTTACCTTAAACAATAATATAATTAAAAATATCAATTCAAAGGCTTAAAAACGTTTTAAACTTTCAAACAGTTTTAATTAAAACGTCTTTCAAAGCCTTTTCTTTAAAAAGAAACAGGAACAGAACAATCAACTGGAATTAAAAATTGGAATAAAGTTTCTTTCATTACAACGCCATCGCCATCGGAACATCTTTTTGAAAATGATAAAAAACAAAATGGCGAAATTGAATGTGGGCTGGCGACGTTGCAATTAGTGGTCAACAGCTTTGTTCTAGGACTCAATATTCAGGAATTCGAGTCTGGTAATTAAAAGCGGCTCCATCGACTGCTCCGGAACTCATTTTTTACAGCAACACCGACCCCAAACTATTCATCAGTGTGTCGCCATATTTTTAAAATAATTAACGAGGCGACCGTCTCACACGCTCTCATACATTATATTCACTGTTCACTGAGATAATACATTTATAGTATGGTTAATGGTTAAAAGAATAACTTTATAGAATAAAAAAATATCAGAAAATACGTTAATTTAATACCGCATTTACTCGTATTTTATAGAAACGAGGGATGAAATACATATTACATATCTGAGGTATATAGATATTACAGGAATTGTGAAATTAATATACATCAATTGTTTTGAAACTATTTCGAAACAGTGATTTTCTTATAAATATATTGAGTCGTGGCTTCAATAATCTGAATAAGAAAAAGATATAGGCGAAAGATACACAGTTATAAAAATATATATTCTATGTTTTTTTAAGATGTATAATATTTTTTTTATCATATAATTTAGTATGTATTTATTTCAAGACATACATTAATATTTGAGAGCATTGTGTCCTCCAAGCAAATTTAGCTCAGAGTTTCAGGAATCGGAGCGATAAAATCTTGTTTGGGAAAGGGATTTCTATAAACATCAATACTCGGGTCTTAAGATAAAGATATAAAGATATTTATAGGAACACCTTCGCTGAGAGAACACAATAAATATAGATTTAGGAAAAAAAACAGCAAGTTTTGTATATGTAATTGAAAAGCGTTATGAAAAAATGAGTTTTATATGTTCATCCTAGCTGGCAGAGATTTTAAAATTATATGAATTCACTTTAAACACTTATATAAACGAGAACCAACTACCGGTTAAAATCTGTTTTGGTTTTGAACTGAAAATTATCATACAAATAATATTAAACAAAATATTTAAATATAACGAGGAAACATATATTGTAATATTACATACGAATTAAATTGCCGGGATGAATCTTCCTAAGTCGAAATTTGCATAATCGTGATCCTCCTAACCATATAAGGGATAACGAAACTAAATAAACCGAGTACGTATACTACGAGTATGACTAAATAAACATTATAAATTACATGTTAAAAAAGGCTAATAATAAATACTATTACAAAAACATCACGTAATGTCTTACTGTTGTTACGAATAAAAATATTCAATAGACCTGAGTCATATACTACATAAAGAAATTCTTTTAGTGGATAAAGACTGTCTTAATTCCTTTAAATTTTGTATGATATTTTGTGCCAGATGTTGGTTGGTTGATGAAAACTGCAACGCAAATAAAGTTATGCAATCAATTAAGTACTCGTGCTACTTTTTACTAACTTTAGAAACGAGGTCACTCGCTAAAGAGCAAAAGCTTTGAATGGTTGGGAATTTCAAAGTAAAGTAACCAAAAGGGTTTAATCATTTCAATTTTATTATAAAGTAGGTAATTATGGGCGAGGTTTTTAATTTCGTACCTCAGGGGAATTGTGATTATGAAGCATTTATAGAATGATTCAGAATATTTATCCATTATTCTCATTTCTCTCTGAAACTCATCCCCTTTCTTTTCTTATATTATTTCACCAACAGACGATCACGGCTCGGTTACATTGGTTTTGAGTTGAACTATATTGTTTTGTATATTCAGTGTCAAATATGATTTAAGTAAAACACTTTGCCGGCGATACTAACAAATGAGTTTACAGTCAGTAAACTTAGGAACTTTGATACAAGCAAATGCACCAACTATTAATTGAAGTAAGCGTAAAATTTAAATTTACCTAGCAATATATATTTACTTGAATAAACAAGTACTTTTAAGTCTTTCAAATTCAAATATAAATCACACACTATCCCGGACAATTTATTATTTTGAGAAAGGCATTAAAAGTTACATCTACACATATGTGTATGAAAGTAAACAAGTAGACAAGTACGATATGATTCAGTATGTACATATGTAGGGTACAGTATCTATAATAGAATCACAGCTATTTCACGAAGGACTCATACTCTGAAGATCACATATCCAAATCACAATTCCAATTGAATATATAAGACTGTTCCTTTATCATACAACCTAATCAGATTTCAAAGATCTAATATAATTCTATGATATTCCGTTGGAAGTCATCGTCTATTTATTTCCTCTCCAAAAGTTTTATTCTCTGTGAAAAGACCCGTAATATATGAATCGTATGACTTGATATTAGGCCGGAAGATTCGTGCTCCAGATTTCGTTTGTTGGGAGTCTAAGAGTAAATAGGAGTGTATTGTTCAACGCTGAAAAGGAATGTTAACAATAACTAAGAATACGTTTGCATTAACATAAAAGAAATTTACAAAACATTGCCATTCCGCTGTTTTTCACATCAAAAATACTGTGATATAAAAAATATGAAATTAAGTTGATTTGTATAAATAAATACTATCACAGTTAACACTGTTAAGTCTATACCATCTTATGAATTTCTTTAATTGGATAATAGATTCTGTTATGGTTTTATTAAACTGGTAGGGAAACATTTCTCATTGTATTTTCTAACACAAACTAACAACTTTATAATAAAATTCATTGTATAAGACTTAGGAAACCAAGTTTATAATTATATTACGTGTAATGTAAGTAATATACACTCTGTTAACATTCAAATGTCCCAAATGGCAAAAAGAGAAATCCCACTACAAATAAAACAAAATCAAAACTAAACGTTTTGTTGGTATTAGAAACCTGACCAAAGGTCTACTGTCACAAAACAAACGACAGCGAAATTGCTGCGGACCGTTCCTATGTGTTCTAGGAAATAAACTCCACGTTACATGTTGACTTCCTACGTTTTAAATTATAATACTTCCTCGCATACCTTTATACATGTCTCGGAAACATTGGTAATGATATCATACGACGTGTCGATATTAATGTATTGATATGTTGTTTGGTGAAATAAGAAACAGTTTTCAGTAAAAAACATAAGGGTTACGATTGAATTTTAAATCAAATCAAATCAAATTTTAAATAACCTTTAGTGTAATATATCACGAAAGACTTTGAAACTTACATGATATTGTAAACTTTTAAAAAATCTAAGCAATATTTTTTTAATAAGTACAATAATACTGTAACAATATATATTCTAAATATATGTTTTTAAATAAGTCAAACAGAAAGTTCCATAAATTGCGCCATAATTTCCGCAACCCTTGTTTACTTGCGAACACTCCATACATCGATCCAAACCGAGAACTAATAACGGCCTTATTTTCCGTACCATACGCTTCTTATTTATGGTTTTCCGTTAATGAATTCTTCACAACTAATTTATGGATAGAGCTTTATTTTACGACTTATATGAAATATACACACTGCCGAGGAAGTACGTCGAGTATTAAAACCTTTCCATACATTGTTTGTCGGTAGCTCGGCCGGGTTTATAATACATTTGACCATCAAGTTAGGGTTGTGTTTAATGTCGGAATGTTATGCACCATTACATTCAACCTATTTGTATTCCCCTCTTTTTCCTTTATTTCTTCTCAAGGCGTATTGGTTACGAGGATATTTTTCCTAATCTTGGCGATTATTTCCTTCCGAATCGTTTCATATTCCGCCGTGTCACGTCATGTTATATGAGGCATGTGACGCGATATTAGAGCTGAAGATATAACATTTTATGTTTCAGAAGATAGCTTTATTATGATTGGAAAAATCCTACGTATTGTTAACAAAGGCGTGAGAGGTTACTGGCTACACTCATAAGAGGCAGTAATATGTTACGATTTCATTTTTATTTATACACAATACACTCGCACTTACAGGGAGAGGTCGTTTATGAATATCGCTTGACCTTTACATTATTTCAGGTCGTAATAATAAAATGTTGTTGATCAATTTAATGCCCATTAAATTGTTTGCGGAACTCAAATTTCACTATTTTGAGGCGAAACGTTTGCCGAGCGTTTAATGAGGGCGGTTCTTGCAAAGCGAAAGGAAATAGCTCTAATGGACGCAGATAGACAACGCACCTCGCTAACTAGATACATCCATTATAGCTGGATAAGCCGGCACAAAGTACGGGAGGAGCGGAGCCGGATAAATTGCTTGCTTAACCTTAAGTTGCGAAATAATGAATTCACTAATGATGCCAGCGCACTTAATAATAGAGATAGTAACTTAATACATCCCCGTTTAAATACCTTCAAGAACCTCCTTTTTAATATTAAATTTAAATATTAATAAGATAGTTTTAATTTTTTTTATAGGTAATAGGTATAATAAGTTACAAATTTTCCATGTAATATTATAAGGTTGTAAAGCGCCGCCATCTTCTTTGTTATGTTGACTGTTAAATATTTACGTTAGTGGCATTAAATGCTTCAAAGTGTTTTATGAGTTTCCGTTATGAGGCTTCTCGGTAATTGCTCATCTCCATCGTAGGTTTTGACGGTAACTTAGTATTTACACAAAGTTTTATAAAGCTACCAACAAACTGTAATTTATTAAATGAACATCTTATCCGTTTAGAACTTGTACAGCTAATTACTATTCATAGTATATCTCTAACAGCAATTATATATTAGATTATTTTGTTAAATGATTTATATAAAAGTGATCATTTTTATTGAATGCATTACGTAGTAAGTTCATTGAATGAGGATTATTTGAATGGGAGTCGTAGCTCTTTTCATTTTGAATTTCCACAGCAGGCTCTATTAATTACAGACTCTTTCTATCCCCTTTTAGTAAAATGCAATAAGATGATAATATCAAATCCAATTAACTGTTTGTAGATCTTTATTAATCACATTTTTCAATTTCAAAATTCAGAGTGTGCTCTCAAAAGTCTGTAAATTGTATTAACGTCTCGTGATGAAACTTAAATTGTATTTTTAGTAAAAATAAATTCTACTCCATTATTTGAAACATTAAATTAAAATTTAAATTTACAATACTGATCGACAGGTATATAAACTAAAGCAAGATTCACACTTGCAAAGACTGGATAATCGTGTTCCAGAATAACTGGAAAGCCAAATACTAACATGGTTCAATTTTTCATTCTTTATTTCATATTTTTATAATAGGTAATAATAATATTTAAAAATAATTAATATAAAGTTCTAAAATTGTACTTCAGGTATGAAATATTTAGTGAGGCTATGGAATGTGACGTGACTGTAAAAATTTTAAATGACCATGTTCGCCACCAAGCAATACTTAAATAACTTGTAATTTATTCGCTTTGCCAGCAGTTTCTACTGTTATCTACATGACTTCAATTCAATAACAAATACTACTTGGTGCATAACGTGATCTTAACTACCTTCTATACCTCTGCTCCAATAAATTTTCACCACTATAGAAGATGCTTAATAATCAAAGACGTTTAATAAGTTATCACACACAATCGCTGCTACTTAATCTTTATCAGTATCAGTCAACAATTACACCAAGACGAGAAGCCATCGTTTAATAGAAATTTATTTCTCTCTCTTTCTCATATACAAAATTAAGAGGAAATAAGTGTGTAGCTTCTAGAATTCATTGCGTCAATATTTGCACCGGTTTATCGATTTTTAGTATCACTATAATAATAATAATAATTTATTTCAGACCATATTGTAGATAGTGTTAGTACAAATTAAACTTAATAAATGAATTGAATTAGTAAATTTACAAATGAAAAGCAATTTTATGATACTTAACCAATTTTTAAACAACACATATATTTTACTTGACTACGTGGAGTCGTATCCAGTGGGCTAAAATTAGTGAATCCCAGCGATCCAACAATGCATGCAGGATCGTGTTGGGGCTATGCGTTGCTTTATATTTGATTCTAAAATTCTTGTATCGAAAGCTTTGTTCTGAATAATGTATGTATGTATGGAGAGTATTTTAACGGATTATGCCTCACCAGCGAACATATCGGGGTGCAGCGACCTGAACTGATGGTGTCGGGGAGCGGCGCCCGGCCGGTGGAGCTGAGGGACGAGGTGCAACCAGAGAGCCATCTTGTGGCCGCGGTAATGACTCTTAGTGCGGACTTTTGTACCTAATACGATAATTATTAGTTAAGTATTAGTATTCTTTAATTATTTGGAATCAACAGTATGTACTGTACAATGAAATTATTTTTATAAGAAAAAACTTAATGAAATAAAAATTTGATGATGGGATATAAGACTTTCGCGAGGAAGTTTTTTTTAGTATTAGTTTCATTTAAAAATCATTAATTTTTTTTAATGAAACTGATATTTTTTGATTAGGTACTTCTTTTAAAAAAATATTTGAAAAAATTTAAAATATTGGTTTCATTAAAAAATTTGATAGTTAATAATTTAATAATGAGAATAAAAGAATCTAAGCAGTAGTTACCTATGCTTAAATACTGCTGTGTATTTAGATCGTATTCAGGCCAGTTCACACTGTCATGTTTGTCCGTATTCTTCGGACTTGGGTCACCGGTTTTCGCAAAAGCAGCGAGCAGCATCACAGTCGTCTCAGCTACTGCCACGTCCCCTCGAGAGTAGTTTCGAGGGTGAAAAGGCATTCCCCCTACTAAGGGAAGCCCTAAGAAGTATGGCAGACTTTCACTTGTAACGCTGCCTAAACGCTGTTGAAGATAATTTGAAATTAATTGAGTATATGATATTGATGTTTTGTATAAATGAGTTTCATAACACTTATACATATATAAAGTAAGTATTTTTATATGTGTGAAAAATGAAACAACATGAAAGAATTAGGCTCATTTTTTATTTCTTTAAACAAAAGGGTAAATTAGATATTATCAAGAATGCAGTCTTAAAAACTTAGCCAAATTGAAGCTATGTTCGTGAAGTGAGACGTTTATTCACTTTAGTAATCCTTATTACTTCATAGTGAAGCTCGCAAGCTTATGAAGAGAACATTATGCTTTTAATCCGATTCTAAATTGAACATATTCCAGAACACAAATTAACTAGCTAGCGTAATTGGTTGGATACATTCAATCTCGTTTCATGAGATATAGGAGAGATAATTACAAAATTCCTTTGGGTTTTATAGATGCAGTGAAAAGATGAAGCGCCCTTCTAGTACAATGAGAAAAAAGGAAATCTTTCTGATCTCGTATGTACCTTAAATATAATATTTAAATAAACTTTGACACTCCTTAATTGGTTTATTATATGATGAGAATGTTTATTTTGAAAAAGTTTTTAATAATCACAACTAATGTTAGTTTTTAAAAGAAAAAATATTTTACCACTCCAGCTTTTACCTATTTACAATTTTATTTGATTTTTTTGTCTATAGTTCAACAATATCTCGAAAAAATATTGCAGCACATAGAAATATATTAAATTTAATATTGAAATAGGTTACGTTACCTGGGGATAATCTGCGTCTTTAGTTTGATGCGTAAAGTGAGCGAGATAGGTCCTTGCTCCTCTCTTAGCGTGTAACTGTGCGAGCCGTAGCGCTGGTGCAGCAACAGCAGCATCACTGAGCGCCTCTAGAGTAGCGTCGCGGATGTTGATGGGATGTTGGATCGGCTTCTCCCAGTCCGTGTACTCGTTACGGATGGCAGCGAATATTTCGTTCCGATGATAGCGGTATACGTTCCGGACGTAGGTTCTGAGTATACGACTCCTAACAAAAAAACATTCTGATAAGTGGGTATAGATTACTGTTTTTTTTTATAAATGAGCCCAATTTTAACAAAATAGCGTATCAGCGTAACAGTTTATGTGTTTTCTTGGCTTGCATATAATAAAGATTTTTGTTGGCTTGTGAATGTCAATAATTACACACCTATGTTCTTCCTCAAAACCGTGTCTGATATCATCCTCGCTAAAGAACTGGTAACTCTCGGTCGTAGTGACGACGACAGCTAATGAACACTGTAGGAAGGTTTCACTAGCGTGAAGAGCTCGTGTTGGTTGTGAAGGAGGACAGGGCGCCCAGCCTGCGAGGAAACGTGCGTGAGGCGCTTCAACCGCTAACAGAACCGCTAGAGGACGGGAACGAATACATGTTGCCAACCTAGAATAACACATACATTAAATACACCAAACAAACCCTTACATGTAAAACTTTTGTAAGTTGTTCTATTCTTACCAGTGCTCGTCAGTGTTAGTATCTTTTGAACACCGTAAAGCCTGAGCCGTGTGTTCTCTAGCGAGCGCAGCGTCCGGCGCTAGTGCGGACGGACTCAGCGCTGAGCCGCTCAGAAGTAACGCTCGAGTAATCAAACCTGACAAACCAGCGTATTAATATTATATAAGTATAAATATTTTTTGTATAGATGGTATGTACCTTGATTAAACTTATATGAAACATTGTTTAATCTTGTTTTTATTCAGAAAATGGTAATTTTACTGAGTAATAAAAATGAAAACTCAAAAATGTATGTCTAATAGTTACGCCTAAGCTAATATTGACTTAGCAATAACAATTTTATTAAATTATGAAATTAAAATAAAACATTGGAAAGTGTTTGGCTATTTCATTGAGGACGTACGCCGTACAATTTTATTAAAAAACATCAAAAATGTTATATAATTATGACACAAATAAACTTTGATCTATAAAGATATCAGTCTTAACATATAATTAACTATAAAAGGCTCTAATAATATAAACTTCGTAAAGAAAATATAAGTTTCACTAACGATAACAGTTATCCTATACCTATTCACTTCTATAGCCGTTTCTAAAAGATTACACATGTGTCGTTCACTCATCTAACTTCTATTATATTTTGTCGCACTAAGTTTTTATACTAATCATCTATTATGATCATTTTGTTGGTTCGTCACAGTAGATGAATATTGCAATCAAGACAAAGCATGTCCATATTACACGAGTTATTTGTTAGCTAGTGACCGGTACCAGTGTGAGGTGTATGTAGAATACATCTGCTCTTAACTCAGCTAATTATATTACAAGTTCATTACAGCACGACACTCAAGAGTTTCTGAAGGCGCTAGAAACCGTAAACCGTCCACTACAAAGTAAAAGAACTTTGCAATTCAGTATTTTCAACAAACAACAATGAACATCTGTTATTATAAAAAAACATACTGTAATAAAAAAAAATTTTTTTTTAGATAAAAATGTTATTCAGATCTCAAGTTTTGTTATAAATTACATTTTCAGTTATTATCAATAATGGTTGCCGTACTTATCATGAACGAACGTTTTTTTTTAATTATTTTATTATATTTAACAAAATTATTATAACAATTTCTCTTTAATTGACTCTCTTGCTTCCATTCTGTTAATAAGACAAAAAAAAAGCCCTTTCTGTCAATACAAAGACATTATTATCAATACTGAGAGTTTATTTCGTAATAAAATACAATTAACAAATGCTACACATAGTTTTAGTCTAACTTAAATGTATTAATATGTCAATTCGATCATACTTATGTATGTTAGGTGTTGAATATATTGTACATAATTGTTTAAAGTAGAATAGCTTTGTTCTAGGTTCAATTGTTCATTTAACATTTTAAATAAAACTAAGTTTTTCTGATATACCTACTATTCGATTTTTTTTTGTTTTATATTTAAATACTGACAGACATTTTCATCCCCTCTGCTCGTGTCGAGATCACGGTAACTGCACAGTGCATTGTAATCGAAACATCGAGAATATGTAGTTTAAAATATATAAAAACACGTACATAGTACTCCGAATTTACTAGTTTTTTTAAATATATACTCTCGAAAAACTAAGATATATCATCAATTGTCCATTATAAAGTTGTACAAATGTTTTACTCCCACAAGTTATACAAAACACTATATTTTCCTTATCATTAAAAAGGATGTAAGAAATTTATTAACCAACTCTGAATCATGTAGCTTTTTATTATAAAAACCAATAATTTACCACCAACAAGCGGTTAATAGTGAATGGTTGTTTTCCCCGTAACCTTTCAGGCTGTCTGTCCGTCTTTTTATTATTTCGACCAAAGTTTCATTAGAGGACGAGTTCAATTCAAAGGAATCCAGAGTGCCTGTCGTGAATCTTTTATTGATATTCTTTTATTAAATCGACACCGGGATCAGTTGTCTCACGGTCTTGCGTAAATAACAATTGTCAGACTAAAAATACATAAATTCGGTAGAAAATATAAACGTCATAGATTTTTATTTGTTTAGGAACATTTGTTCTTTAGAATGTTAATGTAGTTGGATAATTTTATCCTTAATATTCAAATATAATAAAGAGACATATTATCTTTTATTTAGAAAACAAATGGAGTAATTTACTTTTTAAATAATTTTTATGGCATAATGTCATCAAATATTTTGTACAAAATAAGTGGTATATTTGTGTACAAGTTGTGTACACAAAGTAGTTTTAATGAATCACAAAACGTTTGTTATTATTGCACCTGTTTTGTTGGCTATTAACCACTAATGTTCATTTATGAACTTCGTCTATCATTAATATTTACAAAGGTCTCATAAGTCATTTTAAATATTTAGTTTTATCAATTTTTAAGATTACAGAGGTCCTATACGGTTCGTTTTATTTCCATGTTTCCTGAATATATCAAAATATATTCTTATATATTTTTTGCAATAATTCAAGATGATAGTATCGTTGGTATTAAATTCACGTTTCACATACAGATCACATAAGACAAGTCCACTCGGAAACATTTCAATTCCGTCTTACTCACTAAAAAGAAATGGGTCAAATAAAGATTTCCAAGTTGCACGTAACGTTTTGGTGAAAATATTTCTCATAGTGGAAGTTTTTATAAGTATTTTTAATAACTCTATAAGAATTTTTTAAATAGCATTTGGAAAGTTTAAGTTAATGAGAGTTAATGCTAAATGAAGTAAATATTCGTATTTATTTGTTTTTGTGTTATATTAAATGATCGTCGAAAGACTGATTTGTAAATAAAAGGGTAACAAAAAAGAATTTAAGATTCTAAATAATAAAACTTTTAAAAAATTCATTTTTTTTTGTTTTTCCTTTAAAATTAGCAACATTTCTATGTTTATATATTTTCCTCTTAAAATACTATTGTAATCTGAATCCCATGAATATTGGCTTAAATCAGATAAACTAAACTAAATAAACTTAATAACTATAGTGATTATTTAATCAAGTTTTCTCAATTTTTTAACCCGAAATACATGCATGAAATAAAAACTGTGACTAAAAAGTAGTTCAAACCTGTAGTGAATCTTGCATCATTTACCTTTACTAGATGGCAGCATAAGTATCACATTGACGAGAGCAGCGCCGGCTCCATGGCCGAGGAGAGTAAGTCTTTTAGGGTCGCCGCCGAACGCTGCTATGTTTCGATTAACCCACGAGAGGGCTGCGATCATGTCTAATACAGCCGCCCCGCCCGCTGAAGACACCTCGTCTGACGTGCCCGGTGTTAAATAACCTATACATAGAAACATATTATAACGATATCCTTGAACGTTAAGAGTTTCATGTAACAGTTGGATCATGTTAGTTCCTATATGCAAATTGGAAGGTCTGTGTATGTTTCTGGAATTTTTATTATTATTAAAGTTTACGACATAATACATTTCAACGTATCTTTATAACAAATACTATACTTTTATTTCTGTCCTCAGCTGTGCTGATCTTATTGCTCCGATGACGCCTGAGATAATGCAATATAAATATTTCTCTTATTTTTTATGTTTCCGCTAGGTCGCTTTGTTAAAGTTTTCCTTTATAATAAATTTAAAAACGTTAAATTTTCAGACAAAAGTTCCGTTAAAAAAATTTTAAAAGTACATCCAACCGTTAATTAGAACTCGATGAAAATAAGTTAATATTATTTTAAAATACTTAATCTTCTTTGTGTAAATATTGTACCCAAATTCAAATGTAAAATATTTGTGAACTTGTAGTGTTGTTCAAACTCAAACTCAAATAACTTTATTCAATATAGAAGCATTACACTTTCTTATTAATGGTCACTTGAGACACTACCACCGGTTCGGAAAAGAAAATACCCTGACCTGAGAAGAACCGGTTCTAGTTGTTTATTAGAGCGTATTATTAATTACCTAATAGACCTATCCTATAGTTGATGGTGATGACTAGTAGATGAGCGCGGGCGGCGAGTACAGCCCCGTCCAAAGAGTTCCCTGAGCCCCACTCGTGACTTCCTCCAACTACCACTACTACCGCGTACGGCGCTTCCACGCCCCTCGCACCTAACACATACAACACACAAAATACTTATTTATCTTTTACTAATAAAACTGTTGAAATTTAATAACAATTTTTCCTAATATGGCAGAGTATAACATCTTTTTTTGTTGGTGAACTTTAACACAACAAAATTAACTCAGAAATGACAATTAAGAAGCTGAGAGAATTTTACTGGTTGTAATATATTGCAGCAATTTCAAATAATATTTTAATTTTAGTTTTAAATAACATTTAATATAAATTTGCCAAATGTTGTTTTCACTCAATACTCACCGCTACCGGGCACGAATATATTGAGATAGAGACAGTCTTCGCTCTGGTTGACTAATAGTGGTATAGTAGCTTTCAGCTCGTTGTAAATTCCTAGTGGCATCTTCGAGAGTGCTGCACTCCTGGTACAATATATATGTTTTGTAACACAACGAATTGTGTGAAAATATATAAATGTGGAAACATTTTCCTTTTCAATAAAGTTCTAAGCCACATGTAATCATAATATGCACCACTTCAAATTATTAATACTTATTTTACATGAAAAGCTTGGGAAATTGCAATTTATTAGCTAGATATACTTGTATGAGTGTGTACAGTTTATGTATAATTACAATATTAGTTGCTCACGAAGCAAGCTATTCAGCTCCAACATGTTATTAATGTATTAATATTTGATGGTTAACTCCTGGTTTTAAGCGAAATAATAACAGCTATGTACTCATTTATCCGACATTAGTAATTTAATCTCATCTAAATGCGGTTCCATCATAATATAATAGTGAAAACCTTTTAATCACGTAGCCGAGAGCAAATTACTTATTATGTTTAATTATATTAAAGAGTTATCATGTGATTTATATTCAAAGCATTTAAAAAATATATGAAATCATATTAATATATACATAATATAATTAATTAAGGAAGAAGAATGAAAATAAGATGAACAAAATAAAAGAATTAACTCAACGTATTTTTTGAATCTAAAGGAAATACCAACACATTGTTTGGGTAGTGATAAAATTATAAAAAATATACTATGAAGAGAAGGATATCATAGAATTCTTTCGTTAGTTCATAATGTCGACTGTAACCTGGGCAGTAAATAGAATATGCATGTTTTGTGGCATACTTGTTTGATATGTCGGGATATCGTTGAGGGCAGACCGGTGGGAAGGTGTCCGCCAGTCGTGTACCAGGCCAAGGGTCGGGGGGTGGAGGCGGCCCCAGACGAGGGGGTCTTGCCCCATAGGGAACCCCCCGGAACACTTCCACTGGCTCCAAGCGACGTGATGCTGGCTCCACGATGATACCTCTGATTGCTCCTGTGAGAAATAATATTAATTTTAACTCGGTAGATTATAATATTATTAACAAGAATAAAACCTTTTTTCACATTGTTTACATACATATAATTCATTGTTTTAATTATGAGCTTTATGATCAGTAGTCACCCTAACGCAAAGATTGTACCACCAATACAGTTTACCACGATATGCGATATTGAGCTTGTCTTTTCCTGTAGCGTCTGCTTTTTCTTAAATATTGTCATCCTTTAAATAAATTATACAACTTTTTTCCCTTAGTTTTGTCTTAAAGACCATTCCTGGACGTGTTCCCTTCTATTGATACCTGATGTTATCTAATGCATTAAAGTTTTAAGTTTGGTTTGATTTCTAATACAAGGCAATATCATTTTATCATTAAGTTTTATGTAACGCACGCTACGTTCCTTTCCGTGTTGGCAAGTTTTCTAGATGGTGTTTATCACCATTTATTTTTTTCAAGGTTTGAGATCCATATGTCATTACTGGTAGAATAAACGTGTCGAACACTGTTAAGACCTTACCTTAGACGTCTATTTTCTGTGTTAAGGACATTTAGTTCACAGAACCACATTTTAAAACAGGTTTGATCTATGTTTATTCAATTTGATTTTTTTATTTTGATAATCCATTTCGGCGACATTGATGTCCACTGTAAATTTGTAAATTTGTAATTTGTAAATAATTTTTGTCTTTAATAAAAAAATAGTGTAACCATATTGAATAACATTTAAATTAGAAAATCATTTGTCCAAAATACTTTCAAACTCTTGTATGTAAAATGACAACATCTAATAAATGAATACATCAAATATTAAAAAATAATAAAAACTATCACAATACATTTGCTCAACATGATATCGTTCACCATAACGGCTGCATTTAAATATAAGTCGGAAACTGCATAGAAATAATACTTCTCAAACTGTAAACTTGAAAAGTTATTCAATTTAAATATAGAGCGCATTTTTTCGCGCTCCAATTCCGAACTTGTTAGCCAATTTCCAAACAAAATAAATTCAAGTAACCAACAAATGAAATTGTTACGAGTTTTGGAATTTAATTATTACTTTATTTAGCGCATTTTGCGGCGTGTGTCGTAAATGAGGTGAGACTTAAAGTTCGGCCTCCGTCTGTACTTGAATATTGAACTAACTCAACCCTCGGAGATAGAAGGGTCTGAATATTATAGAGGATGTCTCTCAGCCTGTCCTGACTTTAATATGAAGTTATTTCGGGTTCCTCTTAAAGGGTTAGTTAGTTCTTGTTAAATTCGAGGAATCGGTTATTCGTTGTTTATTACTTTTAAAACAAAGTCGTGACGTACGAAACAACTTAGTATTGATTATTCGAAGGATTCGAAACACGAGGTAGGTATGTATATCTATCACAAAGTTGTTATTAGAACAATAAATGAGTTTAGATAACAAAAGTGATAATTAAAATTTACTATTTATTTGTTATGAAATGATTTTAATTTAACAAAAATATTGATTAATTATTACGAATCCCGTAACTCAATAGGGAACTTATATAATCAATAAACCATACTCGGCCAATTATCGTTAATAATTGAATTATAAAAACACGATGTTCAAATAACATCGTAGTCGGCGAACCAACCAATTACGCGCGAGACCCAAAATTATTAATTTGATCCAACTGCCTTTGTTATACAAAACGAAACGACGCCACCTTCGTAACCCGGACTGATTGAAATGTTCCGGGATTACCCGTACCCGGACATGAGGCAGAAGCAACCAGGTTTCCGAATGGTTAAAAACAGGTTGCTGGTTTTACATATCTCATGATTATAAATATAATAACTTTAACTTAATTAAATTCAAAAAGATTTACAAACTGTCGCATCAGACATTCATATTTCAAATGAATGACGTTAATTTCGGTTTACATTCAAAGTAACAATTTGAGATAAGCAAGCCAGTTGTATTCTTACCTTGAGTAGAATTTCAATAAATTACTTGTACTTTAGTGTTTATATTATTTATCTTTAAATTGTTCCGTATACATATATATTTGGTATTGTTTTCCATGATGTTTTTATCTTATTAAAGATTTGTTTCTACAATTCTTGATGTTCACTCAATTCATCCTGTTATTTATAAATAAAAATCATTGTTTTATGTGTGGGTTGTGTATTATTAATTTGCTAACAATATCTGTACGGAACGAGGGTGGAAAAAAATTTCATTGAAACAGTAGGAATAAAACATTATACTGACTTAAAATTTTAATTATATCTTAGATTATACTACACAAATGATTTTAATTCCATGGATTAGATTTTGATGCAGACGTGGTTGAAAGAGTTACATACTTAGAAACAGTGGCGTGCACAGAGATTTGGGGTAGGGTAAACAGAATATGTTTGAAAAATAAAATACCGATTTCCATCATTGCCTCCTCTAAAACATTGATAATAATGATATTTTTCGTTATTATTTTTAACGGGCAGACGAGATGTCTGCCGTGATCACGGTTGCTGCAAAAGTAATCGAAACGTCGGGAGTATGTAGTTTTTAAACATTGATAATATTCGCGCAAAATGTTACAGCAATCCGATCAGAACGAACATCTATATACTTGAGGTTCTTTCAAATACCTCTAAGTCACGAAAGTAACTTAAAATGATTAAGATCTGTTCGTCACAGCTTTATAAAAGTTATTTAAGTCAAGTGGAGATTCAAACATTCTTATTATTATCATTTGAAAACAACAAAAAAGGCAAACAAAATAACTTATTTGTGTGTACACAACCTGCTAACTAATTAAAACTATCATAATACTTTTTATTAAAACGAATAACATTACCTTTTTTTAGTTCAATCTCAAATGGTCACACACCTTGACTTTACACTTATTTTAATTTTATTATCAAATGACAATATTGAAAATCTACTTGTTAATTATTTCAAAAATCACATACATATGACAAGCACAGAGCTCACAGCTATAATTTTCCATAATTCGTTAATAAATTATCCACTGTTTACTAATTAAAACTTATTCACTTGCACTTAGAAAGACAACTCACAAATGACATTGTTATTCACTAATAACAAAATGGCGAAAAAAAATATGAACACTTTACCGACCAATCAGAGAGCCCCGTTTCATTGGACAATTAACGGACTTTCTACGAGATTTTAAACAATACAAAATAATTAGTGCTTCTCGAATACTATGAATGTGTTACTTTTATACACTCACGTACAAAAATTTCCTGCATGTACATACACGAGATTTGTAGATCGTCCATGAGAATTTTTATATGGCAAATAAGCAGAGAGTGGTTGTGTATACCGCCGCTCTGGCTGCATGGCGGCGCTAGCAGTTAGCATCGGCCGATCGAAAATGTTTCGTTTTTACATTGTTAGATGGCACTTATTAACAAATCATGAATCAAAATATGTCATTTTAAATTTCTGTAATTCATTTGTATTTCGTAATGTATAATTAAAAGTATGTAAGTAGGAACCTTCTCCATGTGAGAAAGTGGCCTTCGCTCAGCAGTGGGCTCTGATAGGCTGATGATGTATGATGATGAAGTTAGAATTAAACAATATAGGTTTAGTTGTTATATGGGTAGGGTTTGCAGTGCTTATTTGGATCTATGGCTTGCACGCCACTGCTTAGGAACGTATGGAAATAAGCGAGCTTGTCAAATTCGAGTAACCTGTGTACTAGTTTATTTTCAATATGCCTTAAGTTTATCAGTAGTAGTTTACTAGTACAGTCAGCGACGTATGTACCAAATGGAGTTGTTTACCAGTGTGAGTGTGCACGATGCGCGAGCTGTACCGCGGCCCGGCCCCCGCTCGCCCCACCAGACCCAACAGTATTACCAGCACCACGGACACCTGCGTCGCGCACCACACACGCCGCACGCACTCCATGCGCCATCACGCGACGGGTGGCTGCAACCAAACGACACTTATACATATACAACACAACTAAATGACACTTATACATTATAGTACTACAATTCATCTCTTCCATAGTTCTTGAGTCATTATTGTTATTAAAGATTGCAATGAATAAAAATAGTTGCAAGGCGTAATCGCTGAGAGACGGTTAAAGACACATACTCGTATTTCATTTCATGTCAATCACGTTGCAAATTTTTTCTTTGTAATATTAATAATGATATTATTCGAGATTTTATTATTTAGTTTAGGATTGTGTTAATTATAGTGAATAATTAAAGTAAAAGAATAAAAAGTTTTGCGCTAAAGTCGACTAAACTTAATACCACATTGTATTTTTTGGCTTTGAAATGAAAAATATTCAAATTTCTCGTTTTTCAATAGAAGTTATGTCCGTCAAATAAAGGCTTTGATATTTTATTTTTGGTCACAACTACGATGATATCAATAGAATATAAAATATTTTTATTGATCGATTCTTTCGAGCAACTAACTTCTAAATCCAAAAAAACAGACTTCGATGCGGTTAAAACAAATTTGACCTAATCCAATTTCATACATAATAAATCGATGCTTTGGAAAGTAGAAGTAAACAAAATCACACTGCGCCATGCAATGGCTTTTGTTTTATGGATAAAAGTCACAGAACCTGTAGATAAAACAAGTCAATGTATTATGGGTGACGAAGAAAGCTTCTACGAAAATACAATTTAATTTGTGAAAGCATTTCTTATGTAACTTATAGGGAGAGTTATACTTGGTAGGATTTTTCCTCCCTAAAGGTTTTGGTAATAATAAGTAAATAATAAATGAAAATTATGCCGTCTTATTTATTAGCAGAATTAATGTATAATTCTTGTTACTAAAGGCGACAGGCCGTGATACAGGTGTCACATGCCGTTGTTGGTAAATCTTTGATGTAGTTTGTTGATACCGATTTGCGAATAATACCCTAATCACGAAACGTAAATTATGAAAACCGTAAAACGTAATACAATATTTTTACCCTTATTAAATGCTAATAAAGTGAGTTGTTATAAATTTCTTACCAGTCATTTTATAGCTCGTTTCCAAAAATCTTTTCTCTTTTGAAAATTCGATACGAAGTTATCAAATTACCGTCAATCTTTCCATAATTTTCTATGGCAAATTTCAGCTATTTCAAATGTGTCAAGTTTAATTCAACGTACAAAATACTGTGGAGTCTACATACTATATATTATCTGAAGTATAAACACTATAACATTAATTATAATATATGCAGGACAGCCTTTTGAATTCAAGGAATTTAAAAAGATTGTTGTTGAGATATGAGGTGAATTATTTGATACATATAATTTATATCATTTAAATTTGTAATAAAGAATTTAATTAGGGTCAAAAATATATACAATTTGATTTTCAGAAGAACATATTTAAGGACATCACAACTTCTAACGTATCCGGCTTCTTAGTTATAATGTTTTTTTTTTATTACGCCTCGTTAACGGTTATATATATATATATATATTGTTACTAGGATACAGAGATAGATAGACCTTAGATTTTTAAAAATTTCTAGAACCAACAACACAAAGGTTAAAAATGCATTCAATTGCACTGCGAAGTGCAAATTGTACTTGTTATCGGGATGTATTGACCCAGACTCAGAATAAGACTCTCATACACTTATTTTAACATTCCTGACCAGTTTTTAATAGTCTCCTTAAAAACTTTAAGCTCTTAAAATACTGAAACTAATTATTCACTTATACATATGTCTTTACGATACAAATATTTTATTTATCATATGATGTTTCTTCAGTCTTTTAAAATGAAAAAATATTTTAAAATACCATGATGATAGAAAAAAGTTGTAAATTAAAAATTTATTAAACAGTTAAATAATGGAAGGCGTGAATTGTCTTATGATGTTAAATATAGTCTTTGTTATAAACAGACTCTTAACAAAAGTGGGAAGTAGGCGTTTGTGTAGTCGAAGACAAATGGCGACCCGCGTCACTGGCAGAGAGACTCCACTCAAATCTTTGGACGCTAATATTTCATAAAGTGACTTTGAGTGGACAGAACAAAGTGCAACGTACTATGATCTGAAAATATATAAGTTAACATATAAAATAAACAAAATCTTTGTTTGATAAAAGGATTATGGGATATAAAATGGAAAACCTGAAGTTATAACATTCGTTTTTTTTTCTGTTTTCATTTGTTGAGTGCTATGCGTGTTATAAAAAAAAGTTCGCTAAAGTCTTTTATATAGCATTAATTTAATATGTACTCGATTTTGTGTTATTAGTAGTGAAAGAAAGGTTTATATCGTTATTTTTTATAATTATTTAATTGGTTAAGTAGTCATTAAGTTTTGCTAGGTAAATGTTATATATGAGCAGACAAATAGTATCAAAAATATACTTAAACTTAAAGTATATTGTATACTAGTAAAAATAATAATTAGTGACATTCACTATTGTAAATATATAAATCCGGATATAAAGGAATAAATAGCGGATCACATGTGGCTATTAATTATTCTCACACATAATTTATGTACAATAGCATTAGCATTGGGTTACAGGTATCTCCACTAAGTCCTGTATTAAATGGTTATTGGGAATAGCGCATCTGTTGCGGATAAGATCTTCGGTTGAGAGAACAAATGATTGAGACTAAGATGCGATTATTTATTCACAAGCTCTGGAGGATACTAGTATAAGTACGACAGATACCACTGAATTAAATCCTCATTTGATTTATTCGTTCCCAATAGTATCAGGCCATCCATTGTAACTTAAGAATACGAATCTGCTATCTAAATATGTCTGAGTGTAGTACTGTCCTCACAGAAGGTCAACATGAAATCGCTATTGAATCTGCGTTGCGTCTATGACTAATGGATTTAGAAGCTCTACATCATTCATCTCCTTTTAATCCCAATAAAGGCTGCAGCACACCTGCTCCTACAGCTTTGATAACTTTGAATCAGGTGAATCGATTGTAATCTTTATATATAGGACATATTTCTTTATATTTCTTGATAATCCTTTAATATAAAAGTACCTTTTCTGCAACTGTTATATAGAGACAATGACTTTGGCCTTCACGTCTCATCTGCACTTTCGTGGTAAAAAAAATGTTGATATTTTAAGTTATGTAAGTATTGAGAACACGAATACAATATTATTATGCATATGAAAACGTAAATCCGACTATTAAAGTTATTGCGAAATATATCTGGCAAATAAATTCAGAAGCATCAAGTTTAATATGAAGAGTGTCAAACCCGAAATTCTATTTTTAATATAATACTGATATACGCTATGTTTGTGACACTGAATAGATATCGGTCCCTTACCGCAGGTACCCACATTACTGGACCCTGCGATAGCGTCCTTCAGACCCTAATCTACATAGGATCGCTCATCAAAGTCCCGGGAATATACAAGCAATTTTATTTAGGCACAGAAATTAATTTGGATAATTGGATATGTTTCATTCATTACTTTCAGAACGGCCATCGAAAAAAGGTTGTTACATCTGTCTCTACGAAACGTCTATATAATTTATACATTTATTTGTGAGTCATGGGTCGAAAAGGCAAAAAAACATAACTCATGTTTTTTGTATGTATATATTAATAAATTGTGAAGTCATATCAAATTTAATAATTTATTTAACACATTGGTATTTTAACTGCATTGACGTAATTTTAAATTTCGTATATATTTCCCTTTTCCGTAATAACGAGAACGCTAGGAGCGGAGACTGCGCAAATAATTCCACAGCTAAACTAATATGCATATCTACTTTTGCAAGTTTTAGTTTTAGAATTCATACAATGAGAGCTTTTATGGTAAGTACTTAAATACATTTTGTGTGCTAAAATATGGTGTTTTATAATTTTTTACTCTGTCTTAATGTAAGATATATAGGGTAAAATAAAAATATGAAATGACATTTCCATGTGTACAGATGGAATGAAATTATTTTAGCATCATTTTCGTTTGTCTGAACAATATTTTGACATCTTTTAATTAAATTAATTAGGTCAAATGTATATATGACAATACCACAATCGTTTTATTGGGATCATTAAATGTGTTTTTATATATTTAATATGAACATAAAATAATTTTAATTAATGAATTATACAATATAGTAATATGCAGTAGTATCTTGTCTGTACTGAACACCTTTCATTACCAAAAACGATGTCTAAAAGAAGTCAAAATGAGCACCTATTGTTCTGTTAAAACAAAACACAACAAACTTCCATGTAGTGTTTTAACTAAATAAGCCTTTCTTTATAAGTGAAATACGATATATGGCTTTATTGTTATGTGACAAAATATACGGAGCTCTAAAGAGCTTCTTTTGCATTTTGAAATAAAGAAACATTTGTAGATATAAATAAAAAAATATATAAATAATTCGACCCAACAAGTTGATAGTTCTATAGAGAAGCTTCGACATATTACTTTCGGCCTAAAAAATATTGTAATGTACGTTTATTCAGAAAATAGTTTTAGTTCAAAATAGGATAGGGTTTGGTCATCATTATTTTGATGGAACCAATATATTTTTTAAAATACGAAACTGTTATTGAATTAATGAATAATGAATATAAAAATTATTTATCAGAAAGGAACAATAACCATTTCATTGTTCCATTGTGAACTCTATTGTAAAAAGTTATAAATAATATTATGCTTTTGACGTTCAAGCGGCCACGTAATTAATTACTTGATGCTGTGTAAAATACATAACTGTACACCAGTGAACTGAAACGGCTGAAAAATGTTGATAATTATGAAAATATATTTATGTTATCTCAGCGTTAATTCATTATTCATCTTTACAAAAAATGAACATTGAATTTTAATAATAAAAAACAGTAAAAATTCAAAATGTATGCACACGAAATTTATAAATATAACAGTAATCATGAAACGGTCTCTGAGATAAGAGGCTTA